ATTTCCAAGTAGCGGAATGCTACAGAGGTAAACAAACAATATCATTTGGAAGAGGATTAATAAGTGTTGACATTCATACAAATGAGTAATCCTGTAAACGTAAACAGAATATTTTATATAGATTTTTTTTAATGAAAACTTAAAATCCTGCATTATTTTCCGGACAACCCGATATTTAATTTACCATTGCTGTCTGTGCCAACTTGCTGCTTATCAATAACAGCAATTTTCTTTTTGATATATCTCAAACCTGGTGCTACTGGGTACGTCGGCTCAGGTCGGCTGATTGTTTCATCTTTTATGGCTGAAAAGATAATTGAACATTTATATACTTCATTAAATTAAAAAACGTGGTACAAATTTTTTCTTACCCGAAGGTTTTGGTTTTTTGTATTTGGGTTGAGGTTTGAATAGTTTTTCCTCATCGCTCTCGAAGTCATCAGATTCAAAATTCAGTCTGCAAAAGACAAATATTTGTTAAATAATGTAATTTTAAAACTATGTGATTCACTTCACCTTGAAGATGAATCAAGGCTTGATGATTGACTAAATGGGAAAATTGTTTTAATCGTTGGTTTTTTCTCTTCTAACGGTTGATAAGGCCGTTTTGGTGCAAGGTTTTCGTTTCTTTCCTGCCTCGGCATTACCTAATAAAGTAAATAGTTTTTAAAACATGATTTCATTCAAAGTATGTTTGTATTTAATTTACTGGTGATGACTGAGGCATTTGAGGGGCGATTGACTGTACAATCGGGTCATGTTCGCTTTTTACAGAAGTCGACGGGATCCTTTTAACTGGGAAGGGGGATTTTGAAGGTCCAGGGTCTGAATTTGCTATTTCAGATCTTGCTAACGCCAAATCTACCACATTCGGAGCCGCTCCGACCAAAGATTCAAATTCCACATGGTAATGTTTGATGTGCATCTGTAATTTTTGTTTAAAATTATCGAATTTGAGATAATAATTAAAGCAATAAGACTTACCTGAAGGAGGCTCTCTTTTCTGAACTTTTTCTCACAGCCTTCTTTAACACACTTCCAAACATTATCGCCATCAGACGGAACTGGTTCTACAAAGAAAAAAGAACGTTAGTAAGATTGACAATAAACAGTTATTAATAAGTATGAAAAAACCTGTAGGAGGTGTTAGAGCTGGCGATGAACTAGAAGGTTCCACACGATATTTCGGCAAGAGAGTTCGCACCTTACCGACTTTATTGACACTGCTTAATGGATGGATTGTTTTTATAGGACTTTTGACAGTTCCGTGTTTTTTTCCTATTTTCTTTCTGATAATCCTGAAATAATATTTGTTTACTGTACCATCTTAAGCATTTAAAAAAAAAATCTTTTATGATACAATATGTAATTTAATGGGGAGCAAATAATCAATATTATTTTCCCACTTCACTTCACTAAATAAATTACAATTAATTACGGTTTTTATCTCAACTAAAAACCTTAATTAATTGCAATATATTAATTGGTCAAGCGGACCACGAAATTAGAGAATTTAATCACTAAATAAACTTCACTACCTATCCACCGCAAGGCAGTCTCAGGTCTATTTCCTCTTAAGATGCCGTATGGGATTGTAGGGATAAGTTCTGACACAAGGCTTGGACAAGATTATAGTGGTGATGAGAGATTATTGTGGAACTTGGTAAATTTTTTGGGAATTAATTTTTGGATAAATGGGATTTTAAGGTCGTTGTGGAGGGTAATATTGGAGACATAATACAGAGCATTTATAATTGATCTGAAGGCTTTAGACTAAAAGGATTAAAAACGCTGGATACTGGAAGGCTTGATGGTTCCCCATACCCTGTCCAAATTAGTTTTATAGATTGTAAGTTTGTTTTTCGTCAACAGCTTAGATTGCTGTACTATAAGTTTGTAGACTAGACCTTAGCATCTGTTTAGGTCTTGTATTTAAGACATACATGCTGATCCCATGTTAGGCTTGAATCTAGGTGGAACCCGTCAGATTTATGTTTAGGAACATTGTTGTGGTAGATTTGTTTGGAGCGTAAATGTGACACGGACAAACTTGGTTTCATTTATCTCCAGGAGAAGCTTGTGCAACATGAAGAAACGCTCCAATACAATATTCTCTGAAGTGTAAATAAAACTATAAGTTGTACAGACTTACCAATTTGGAAAAACTTCGTTGATAGCTTCTAAGTCCCTCTGTTTCTCGATTAACTTTGGTAAAAGGTGCGAGGGATAGGTAAAATCCAAGTTTCTCTGAAAAGATTTGTGAAGCCTGCCGAAATAGTCTTTTAGCTCTTCTATAGAATTTACTTTATATTTGTCAGGGCTGAAAATGATTGGTAAAATATTACACATTCATTGATTAATAATACCTAATAATAAATTTTCACCTAATCAGGAAGGCTTTCCATTCTTCATTTAATTGGATGGCATGTTTAACCCAACCATTAGACAACTGCTTATCTGGGATTATTACTGTTCTAAATGATGTACCTTACAAACAAATTCACAATGTATTTTGAACATAATTATTTTGAAAAAAAAAAAATACCTTCAAGGGGACCAGCTATACTTATTGGACGAGCAGTTACTGAAATATCACAAGACCACCTATCAGTTTCAGGATTAATTTTATTTTCTGGCTGAGGCTCATGAACTAGTGCCTGCTGTGTAAAATGACAAAACAAAAAAATTATGGCAAACTTGTAAAAATAATTATGGAAACTAGAGCTCACATCTTGTTTTATCGGAGTCGACGTGATGGGGTAATCTTGAAATTCTTCCATCTTGTCCTGCTGTCTGTTTTCGTTTTCGAGTAACAATAACTTTTTCTTTTTCTTCAATGAACTTTTGCTTTTCATGCTAGAGATGTCCTTAGATTTGAAATAGTGCTTTTTCATAGAGAAGCCTTCTTGTTTACGTTGTTTCTTTTGAAGGTCTTTGACAAACACATAGTCATCAAAGGTTTTCTTCTTTCTCTGCCTGCGTGCTTCCTTCGAATCTGCGTCCATGTCAACAAAACTGTCTGCTTCAGAAGGGTTTGAGTGGCGATACTGGAAAATAATAAAAATAAGAATTTATTTTAAAATTCACAAGCGACTGTGTTGCAACAATGACAAAAATGGAGACATTTTCTTTTGAGGTGTTGGGTGATGAACCAGTAGTTTGGTCAATTTCCTATCATTTTGGTGTCACCATCTTCAGCGATGGGTTTATTTGAAGATGGCGAGAAGCCAAAACAAGTCCAACAGATCAAATGATTGAAATGGCCATTAACACAAATATTCAAACATACTAATAAAATTTTTTTTTGTAAAATATATATTGTGTATAATACACGTTAAAAACAGAATGTAAAGGAACATTTCATATTCACAGGTATTGGCCAGGGCATAGATTAGATTGCTATATTTGCGAACCTACAGATTTGCATTCTTACTTCAACAATAAAATCACTATTTGTAATTTAAAAATACGACTGACTGACAAGGATAAATTTTTTATTAGAATCATAAATAAACTATTACCTGTAAGAATTAAAATAGATTTGACTTTCTTATAATACAGAGTTATTTTCTTAAAAACAGTACAGAGATTATCTACTGGTTTGTTTCATTGTTTACTTTTAGATTATAGAAACCTCCTTGTGTCAAATTAAGTAAATCATCTGTAAAGTTAATTATTAAAAGTTAATCATCTTTGAAATCTAACTTTTGGATTAAACGTTACCAGCTGTAATTAAAAAGTTGTTCATCAAATGAATAATTAAGTGGTTTTTCAAAATACAAAAATATAATTTTTATTAAAACTATGCGTTTTATGGGCAAAATTATTTTATTAAGTAATTAATAAAAATATTTTTTAATAAAAAAAACTATCTAGTTTTTAATAAGAAAAGTTCACCTTAGCGGATTCCTCTTCTGTAGTTTTATAAAGATGATCTTCACTGATTGTCTTTTCAAAGCCGTCGTAAAACAGTACATCGTAACTACCTATTGAAGAAAAACATTGAAATTAGATCTTGAAAATTATATTTTTATTTAATTAAGAAATTACCTTGGCCAGCCATTTTTTTGATGATGGCCGGAAACTTCTGCATCCTATGTTCAGACCATTTGGCAAGCACTTTTTCGCCGATTTGAAATTTCCCTTTGTGTTTGGGCGAAACTGCTGATTCCAATTTGGCAATTTGTTCCCTAGGCATGTTGCTTCGTTTAAGGGCCTTTTTATTTAGTGATTTCATGTTCTTGAGGGAGGATCTAATATGGCTCTTTTTCACTCTTTTCTTATATATGTCCTTATCCTCTTGCTGGCCCTCAGTTCTAATGCAAAAACAATTGTAAATTAAGAATTGTACTAATTGGACAAAAAGTGGACATCATGATGAACTTTGTTTATAAATGCAACGGCTAAATAAACATTTTTTTTTTGTTTTTTGGCAAATAAGATTGATCATTAATAACAGTATTAGAAAATGTAATATTTCAATTGTTAAAAGTAAATAGGTGCTTAAGATTTGTTATTTCCCAAAACCTTGATGTAAAATGACGCACAAGGAAAAGGAGAATAAAAATGTTATTTTTTCCTTTTATTTCAAGCAGTGCAATAACAAGTGACTGAAACATTTACCTAATGAATTTTTTAAAAAATAATTTAGATATCTGAGGAATAGTTAAATTATTAGGCTTTCACCTTGAAGGGTTGTCACTCCATGAGGAGCTGACCCTGGACCCTAGGGTCTATACCTCAGGGGAGTTTGCATACCCCATTAATTGGCTGGGTCGCTAGTATCCCCTTGAGTCAGATGCTCAGGAGATGTTTCCCAACCAACGGGGTTAGGCTTCAAGGGCTTTCGACAGCTAGGAAATTTTAGCCACCAGTTCATGCAAAATATAATCTAGCCTAAAACTAACATCTATCACAAATAAATACATTTACACCTATTCACTCATTCTTGATTGTCGGTGGAGTACTCAATATTCCTCATCGAACTTCACACAATAAGATGAATAATAAATAACCTAATCAAAATAAGAGTTGATGGAGTACTTAAATAAATATTACGCCATCGACCTTAAACGCATTCACCACTCACACTAATAAATATAAAATGTGTGAGATTTGGCCCAAGAGCAGCTGTGAGTTAACCGCGTATGACCTACACTTAATCGAATAAGGACAATTCCTTATTTCTGGCTCAGGTTCGCGGAGGGCCATCTGCAGGTCGCGCACTTGACATGCCAGAGCCTCTCCGACGACCTGCCCCCAATTAAACTATCCTAATGGTAAAATGAAAAATTTGTTTGCTTACCTTTTTTTTAAATTATATTTTTATTGTTATGACTTCATTTCATATATTCAGCCAAGTTACAATGCCAAGTTTTCACCAAGAATTATGCACTGAACTTTTTCTTAAATTTTATTGTTATTATCATTCATTAATTATAGGAACACACTTACGGTTTTATGACAATTTCAGATGTTTGAGAAGTAATTGTAGGCCTAGTAGGGATTTGAGAATTATCTGGAATAAGCCTGGAAAGCCTTTGGCTGCTCATAGCCACCCATTCTTCAGATTTAGTACTGTCACCATACTGGACGAGTACTTCATTTTCTTCCCAATCAACTTCTGCTATTGTTGCTTCATTCCTTAATATTAAACAAAATGATGGCTGTTTATTGATTAAAATATTTGAAGACAAAATTAAGAACATACCAGGTTGAACATTTATAGTCCATAACGTAAAGTTTGAGACCGGGTTTGAATTCTTGCTCTAGGATTTCTGTGTCAAGCTTTCCATTTAATTCGATTTTCTCCTTGTATTCTTCTTTTATCTCGGCCTCCATGGATTGTTGATCTGGGGCCAATTCCTCCTTTGGTTCTGGTTCCGGTTCTTCTGTTTTCACATCTTTTGATGTCGGCCTGGGAGCGAATTCGTCAATCAGGTCGCTCGCGTCTACCTCAATGTTCTCCTCCCAGTTGATTTCACTGAAGAGGTTGTTACCGTCGCTGTTTTCCGAGTTGGTTGTGTTGTCTTCGTCTATCATTTCATCGCTAGCCCCACTGCTTCTTGTCTGTTCGAAGACTTTTGAAGCCAGTCTGCTGAATAAAATTTCTTTCATTTTCAGAGACGGTTTACTATTCCTCTTCTTTCCCAATTTAGACTGACCAAAGGAGGCATCGGAATCTTCAGAGTTATAATCTTCAGAGGATACTAATAATAATTTTAAATAAATAAGAAAGATGTAAAAAATGTAATTTTAAATGCCAAAATATTTTATTGTCAGAGAAAAAAGGACTCATTTTAATAAAGTGTTTAAAAAATTGCTTATGCAAAAGTTGTATTTATTTATATTATTTAGGAATTGGTTAACTAATAATTGCTGTAGCAGGAAATTATGAGGAACTTAAAAAAAAAAATTAATACCTCCTTCCCTAGGAAGATTTTCTTCCGATTGCTTTCTTTTCTTTTCAGTTTGAGCCAACTCCATACTGAAAGAAAAAGTGGCAGGCGATTCTCAATCTGCAAGCATCAAATTAATGAAATATCAATAAGTCTAGAATATTTATGGTGGAGTGAGTACATCAATTAATTGGCTGAAAAATAGTACCACTATTTTCAGCCTATCAATAATAGTCAGTCCTAAATTGTAAATAAACAACAATCAAAAATCTAATTAATGTTTCAAAAAAACACTGAAAATCATCAATCCTAGGGGCATAGCAAGTTTATTATAATAGATATGACTGCCCAAATCAAGCCATGCTATATTTGTTATGATAATGATAAAAACTGTAAATTCTTAACTGAAAACAGTTGAAACTTGTATTTTGGGTAGAATTGTTAAGAGCATCTGATTTTCGTTTTAGCCAAGCTAGTTATTCTGGGTTCTGATCCCAACATAGCCCTTCTAACTTCATATGAAAATTATTGTAAAAAGTACAATGGCTAATTTGGCATTAAGCCCTCCCGTTTGAGCATCAGGAATTAACATTATTGGCTTTATTTGAATTATATAATAAGCAAATATCAATCATTTAACCAATAAGGTAGAAATAAATTTTCATCCATAATAATTCACAAGCTGACTTTTTAAAATTTTAAACTTTGATTGAACAGGTGGTCATAAAATATAACGATGATGTTATTAAATCCATTTGCTATATTTTATCTGATATTTGAGTAAACATCAAAAATGGAAATTGTGAGAATTCTCTGTGTGGTCTGCAGGGAGATGAGCTTGTAATTTGGTCGTTATCAATTATCCTGGTCTGCCTATCCTTATCCTTACTGAATTGTTCTGTCAGATGTAGTTGTAACTACATTTTTTGGGGATTATTAAGTTGGTAGATGATTAATTAGTCAGTTAAAAAGTTGACTTTGTCTGTGTACTGTTTAATAATATAATAATTATTGTATTTTTTAAAATTTACCATTATTACCAACATTTTTTAAAAATAATAGTTTAACCATGTTTACTGGTTACTTTAGATGACCAATTTATTACATCATAGGTTATGAGTAAATCCCGGATTTTTATGCAATTTCACATACTTTTCGCTAACACTTTCGACCATGTTGATCAGTATCCAAATCATAATATTCAAATTTTATTTTGCCTTTGAAAAATGAAGCTGAAACATTCTTGATTACTGAAAAGTATATGCTTAGGCAACAAAGAACACGACAGGAAAAAAAGAACCTAAAATTTGATACAGATTTCAGTTAACTTGTCAAAAACAGAGACAAATAATCTGACACAACAGAATTCTCTTGAAATAATCGGTATTTTTTTCACACCCATATTTCCAAAATTTCTACATCCAGTTGCAATATTAGCCGATGATGTCTCTGATTGCCTGCCTTACACTACTGCCTAATTTAATATTTTAAATTCAAATTATAAGGTATATTTGGGGCTTTATTAGTGTGGATTATGGCTTAATATTAGATTTTTATTGCATAAAATTCAGGCTTTAATCATGAGTGTTGTATTTAAGTTTAAAAAATTCCTTGACATGTCTGTATTGAAAAATGAAGTACACATTTTGCAGATCTGAGAAGAAAAGTAATTTTTAAATAAACGTTAAATATCCCAGAAGATTTTTGATGTAAGTGTAGAAAAAGTTAGCTTAAAAAATATTAACTAATCCAATTACAACTTTCTTATGATGCTAAATTGGACTGGTTTTATAGTTTTTAATTGTTATGGTTAAGAAATACTTTGTGTAGTTTTTAAATAATAGAAGTATTCTGTGTAAAACATGGTGGTGAAATATTGAGACCCTCAATTACAATATCTTTTTAATGTTTCCAGGGTCATAAAAGAGTATTCAGTACTATCGCCTAACTTGAGTGGCCTGTATATACGAAAGAATATATTTAAGAATGATTGAAAGTTTCAGTGAGCTTGGGTTAACAATTGCATACATGGAAAGCTAGAATGATGATAGCCCCATACGCCTCTTTCACACAGATGCCAAGGAGTGTAGCCTGTCGCAAACAATTGGGAACCCCCTGAAACCTTCATACTCAGTCAATTCTACTGCCCATGTATTCTCCCACGTTCTCATCCTGACTGGTTGACTCAACTCAAAAGACAACTTGGCATTTATCCTTCACACTAGTTGCCCAGTTGAGTCAACTGAGTTCACCACATAAAGTAATCGTAAATTTCAACATGGAACTCTTGGAAGCACAAGAGGTGATCCTGCTTCCTCAGGTTCTACACCATCTAATCTCCTGCTGAGGACAGAAGTTGTTTCTAAAAGATGTTACCAGTCAAGGAAAGCCTTGAGAGTCAACCAGGTGACTTAGTTTAATCACCAAATTGCAAAAGATGATACAATCAACAATACAGTGGGTGAATTTCAAGGCTGTGATTTTATTATACTACGTTTAATTCATTAATCAATATACAAAAGTTTTACTACTGACCAAAAGGAAAATGTAACCCACAGGGGATATGTACCAAGTAGCACTGCAAATAACAGGAAACACCTCGAATTTCAGGCTTCAAAGCATTTTCTTCTATTTGCATACCAATCAGACACTTTCTGTATCACATGTGTCTATCGTCAATGTTATGTATGAACTTATGTACTAACATTTCAGGTTTTTTTCAATACGCAAAATACAATGTATAGTAACATCTTGAAACCTATGCACCACATCGAACCAAATGAGAAAAAATTATTGATGGCATAAAAAAATAAAATTTATAAAAAAGATAAATTAATTTCAGCAGTTAGAAGTAGTAATCTATCATAGTAGATGGTGATGAATCAGCGATGGTTGTTCTTCCAGGGGCAACCGGGGATAAGTAAAAGCGCGAATGAGTAAAAGCATCGATAAAGTGAACGAGGATAACAGCTACAGTATAAATAATTTGAAAGATTATAATTAAAACCATTTCGATGAACACCTTTTAACAGCTAAAAAAAAATTTTTTTTAAATATCCTGACTACAGTTAAACAATTGAGAGATTTCCTCCTGTGGTCAGCAGAGTGTAAACCTATAGTTTGATAGATATCTATCATCTTCGTATGCCTATCTTCTCAGATCTCTTTGTCAGTCAGTCACATTTCAGATTTTCCATACTCCACAGAATTCACTGAAACCTAAAAATGGTAAAATGACGAAACGCATCCGACTCACTAAAATCAGCATAGATAGGCAGACCAAGATGATAGGTAACTATGATAACTATAGGTACACTGTTGTTTTTATATACTTAGCTTTAATTTCAAACTAAAGCATAACAAGAATGTTTGATTTTAGCAACGTATGACAACATTTATTGCTATGTATACTTCTTTCTAATAAAATTATTCATTATTATTGTCTAGTTGATGAAATGTAGTAAAAATAGCAGAGAGCATAATAAAATAAACTAATACTGGCGTTTTGTACATATGTTTACAGTAAATTTATATATTTACAGCTGAAATAAGTTTTTGTTTTTAACAACTAATTTAACTGATTAAAAGCACCTCGTTGGATATCATGTGTAAATTCTGCTTTGCAGTTCGACCGTGCTGCAAGAGGAAAGGCCAAATTGTAAATTAAAACAATTTTAAAAAGCGTTTTAAAGATCACTACATCAATTATGCGATGTTACACAACTGTGTACTGTAGACTGTTTATGACACAGGTTATCGAATCGTAGAGCCAAACTTACAATAAAAAACATAAAAAGAAGGAAAAATTGTTTTATTACATGCAAAAATCTATGTACGGGGAAATGGATAAAACATTACCGTCAACGCGTCGAGCATTCGCCGTCCACGAGTAATTTCGAGACTTTCCTGGCCCCACTTTGGAATATCGTAGATGAAAAGAAGGTCGAACAAAGAAGAGATTTACCGTTGTAGTAGGCACAGAACACTACATAAAATAGTATAAAACTAAACAATAAGAAAATAAATTTATTATGATTATATTTTGGTTACTTTGCTAACCTTTCTGAAGGTTGTATTTCTTCACAAGCGCGCTTCTCTGTCAAACAATTCAATGACGTCATGGTCGTCAAACTGGTGTTCAGCTAGTCACAACTTCACATAACTTCTTAAAACTATTAACCTTAAAAGATAAATACGAAATGCTATGAAAGTAAAAGCTATATAAGTTTACTGTACTCTTATTAAAGAGATACCGTGAATTGGAGCGTCTCGGTAAAAAGATGGTTGTTGTCCTGGTTCCCTGATATATAGATCTATGTGGTAACGGAAAGCTAGGACTTAGCCACCGCGAACCAGTCCTTTAACGCCCAAAATTCCAATAAAAAAAGATGAGTGAAAGAAAGTGTCGGGTGGGAGAAGCTTTTGTGTATTCTCTCGATAGGTGGCCCTCAGAGGACCTGCCTAGTGGAAGATTAGGAAGATCTCACCCTGGTAATAATAGGCCATGTGACACACTTTGGGACCAAAGCTCACATGTTTCCAGCATGTAGAGAAAGGTTGCTTGATATATTCCACTTAATTGAAGGGGGTGATTCCTTGGCTTCATACAGAGATCGCGAGTGAGAAGTGTCCTTAAGCACGGCAGCGAGTAAACAGGGTTATTTTATTGTATATAGTGCTGATATTGTTGTGTTCCCTAGTGAATATATTTATTAGCGTGAATGTGTAATGTAAGAGGGTTGATGGAGGAATATTTTGTACCACACTGACCCTCAATCCGATTAGTTATATATGTTTGGAGGGTGATGGAGGAATATCGAGTATTCCTCCACCCTGAGTTAATGTCTGCTTTTGTATTGCTCAAAATTACCTTGTATCATAGTCTTGTTGTTTCCCCAGTTGTTGAGATTTGAGATGAATTCACTGACCAATTTTGTTCTGAATTTTTTATACGCAATGCTCTAATAGCGTATAAAAATTTTTTTGACAGTGTAACTTTGTTTTTTCTAAGGCACATTTGTATTTCAGCTTGAAAGATTGAGGTGTATTTCCCTAATGATTTTGATTTGATTTTTGGTATGTACAGAAATTTTGTATCTGATTTTTTCCTGACTTCTTCTTCTTTGCAGTCTGTTGAGACTTTATAGGATGTTGTTAAGAGTGTTTCTAGGATCATATAATTAGTCTCCATGTTTAAGAATGATGTCTTGTTTTATTAATTATTGTTTCTCGCATTAAAATTTTTTTTTTTTGATTTACATATCAGAAGGAATTGGTGTTATTTTTTAAATTTATTTTGTTCTCTTGTGTGAGGATGTAATATTAAAAATTATCCAATATAATAATAACAAACTGTAGATTTATAGTAAGTGACGTCATTCTTTAATAAACCAGTTGACTGAGATCTGTGATTGCCTTCACTTGTGGTTACCTTCAAGTCAGGTCAAGTTAGTGATAACAGTTTTTGGCAGATATCCTCAAAATTTTGCATCAGTGCTTTTGATAATGTCTACTCCAAAAGTCGTAAGCCATGCGGTAAAGCAGGTGAAACCACTTTTGTCGTTAGACCACGGAGAGGCGAGGAGAAGAGTCCTCAACCTGTACAAAGCCTGGTACAGACAGATCCCTTATATAGGTAAAATTCTGTGTAATTTATTTTTTCACTTGAGCAAAATGAAAGTTCTTCTGTTTCAGTATTGGATTTTGACATCCCTAAGAACGAGGCCCAGTGCAAATCGAAGCTCAAAGAGGAATTTATGAAGTACAAAGACGTTAAGGACATCAGGATCATTGACATGCTGGTCATCAAGGTATTCACATTGTCTTAATACAAAACAAAACTTTAATCCATTATTTTATTGTGTAAATTTGCTTAAAACGATCTCTGCTCTGTCGGATAAAAGAGGTGACCGCAAAGCTTTCTGTACCTCGACCTGAGCAGATCTGTTGTGCTCTTCTAATTTTATAACTCACTGGCCAGCTTAACGCTGGTAGTCAATCTCCATTGCCTTGCCTTGATCCTCCTTAGTGTAGGATCTTGCTTGTGGCTTTTCCTCTTCTAGTTGCAAGATCTGAACCTAAAAAGACCCTCACAAAAACATAAAACGTGTTCTGCTGTCTCCTTTCCTTCCTGGAAATACTTGCACGTTATTTCTTCTGTCTCTACTCCTATCCGGTGTATGTGCTGTCTTAGGAGGCAATGTCCTGTCAAGAGACGAACCAGAATCCTCACTTCAGCTAATCATTCAGACAAAATATCACACATGGAAAGCTAAGAGGTGTTTTATGTTGAAATTGAACCGTTTCTTCGTTTTTGTGTTTTTTTTTCAGGGGCAGATGGAGTTGAAAGAGTGTGTGAAAGGCTGGAAACAGAAGGGACATGTCATGGCGTACTGGAAAGATACTCACGAACCTAAGCCAAAAGATTTCCTATCGAAATTTGTATCTGGGGTCGAATAAAACCATTCTTTTCTCTCTAGTTCGAATAGAAATATTTATTTTGTAAATAAGAATGACAAACCGTCTATCAACACATGATGACCACCTTGAAAAGTTATAATTGTTAATAAATAATTTGTGTTAGAAGCTGTTGACATGTTAGTTTTCTTGAAACCCTTCATCTTATTGCCAATGCTATTTTTTATTGGGTTTTTCAATTAGAAAGTTCAAATAGTTCAATAAAATACTTGGTGTATAAAAATGTTTTGTAAGTTATATTCACCACTGCCAGCCTTATATTTATGTAAATTTACATAACTGAGTAGTATAAAAGAAAAAAAAGGAAAGTAATTGTGCAATGGAATGGATCAAGACATGCACAATACCCCTCATTCTAAATCAGTCATTGCTATTTTGTCCTCAGGTTTGCTCAATCACTCTTTCTCTCACACACAGACAAACATACATTTATCTCAGTCCCTGCCTCCCTTCAGTGCTTAATTCAATTTTCAATCTTGAAAATGGTTGTTTAAAACTGAATAATTCAACTTTAATTGCTCTCTAAAATTCACCCACTAAATTCAACTTATATAATTATTCACAATTCATGTAGATTTACATAGATAAAAGGGAATCAAAGGATGGATAAGAATCTAAATGGATATATATAAGTTAATTAATAGAAAGTTAAGTTAGTTAAGACTCAAAAATGAGGAGTTTTATGCAAAAGGAATAGACATTTACATAAATATGTAACAAAATAGATAAAGTGGTAGGTAAGATTGTTAGGGTAGATAGATTCATATAAAGTAGACTGATATGGATCGGTACTTGTCTTGACTGGTGTTTTCCATTTTCCCGCATTTTTTCAACAATTTATGGTTAAATTATGCAAAAAAAATTATATATAAAAATTTTGACTATTGAAAAATTTTGAGATGAATTGAACGAGGTTAGATGAACCCTGCTTATTTGTCTTTTCGAAAGTTAATAAAACAAATGTAATCCTGCCGACTTCTTGTTGGCTGTATCCTTCCTCTAATAATGTTATGACCCTGACACTATCATACTCACTCAAATGGCTGAATGGAGAGTAACTTTATTTTGCAATTTGTTCAGGTTAGTTTTGCAAGTGCTCTGAATGGCTGCCTGGCTATCTGACACGTTAGCTATATTCTTGTTTTTGCACCCTTTTTTCAGATTGAACTGAGATATATTTTAATTGCATGTATTGCAGCCTGGAAATACTGGTGTACTCTATATTTGGTTCTAGGACCGAACAATCCACCCCGTACCTTCTTGCCTTCTAGATCTATCAGGGTACCAGTAAGTGAAGTAAGAACTACTCAGCTATTATTGAGTTTAAGAGCTACCATCTATATAACAACTAATAGTATATAGGATTAACTGTATTACAATTATGACAATTCAGTTTATTTAAATAAATACAAAGAATATACAAAATGATCTATGTACACATGATGTTGGAAATTAAATAATCTAAATAAATTAAACATCTTTGAGCAATTCGTTCAACGGGACTTTTGATAATGCTCTATTCGATATCTGTTGGAAAGCAGAACCAATCGCCTCTTCAAATGATTCCTTCATGTCATCCAAAATTGGCATCCAGTTCTCATTTAAGATGTTGTTCAAGGTATCACCTGAAATGTGAAGAATTACAGAAAAATGTAGATGTAAAACTTTTGTTTTATTATAAGCAATATAAAAAAAAACTCACTTATTTGCTTGTTTCCTTTGAAAAGGTCTTCAAAATACAGTTCCATTTTGTCAACTTGAAATGGGAACGTGACCACGTCAACATGGGCGTATTTCTTCCCATTCTTCATGACCTCATGTCCTTTCATTTTCAACACGGATTTCAGGTTGTCTATTTAGATAAATTATTTATGTTTTTGTACAATTTCCGAACAAGAATTTGGTTTGGTTTTCCTTACGCAAAGTTATGTTGAATCGGCCGCTTCCTCTTATTGGAAGGGAAAGGACTTTTCCGATAGACTGGTACTTTCCTCTCAGGATGAAAGGCTTCTTCATAGTGGCGTCTATATCAACCTCCTGTTTCTTAATGTCATACCTGAAATCAACAAAATTATCAACGTCGAATAACTGCATGAAACATTTTTCCCTAAAACACGCACACACTATTTTACAATACGTCAGTTTAAAAACAATTTGTTAAGTTTAAAACTTAGATAATTACCTTGCTCTCATGATATCGGCTGAAGCTAAACCTTCGATGTCCACGTCCATAAATTTATGACGAACGTTCAACGTTTTACCGGGTGCGTTTGAAAGGTCAAGAAGGTCAATATGTAACGGGTCGATTGGAAAGACTCCGAGTTTTGGAATTCCTAGGAAAAAAAAATTATGCAATATAAAAAATATTCGGTAAATTAAAGAGAAAGTACATGAAAGTAATATAAAAATTTAGACAGATAGAAGGCGAGTACAAAATATATAAAACCGAATGTATAGGATAAAATAATAAACGAATTTGTGATGGAGATCAATGTAGGAGAAAGCGAGAGCGAGAGAGAGAGAGAGAGAGTGTGTGAGAGAGAGGAAGAGAGAGAGAGAGAGAGAGAGAGAGAGAGAGAGAGAGAGTGTGTGTGAGAGAGTGTGTGTGTGTGTGTGTGTGTGAGAGAGAGAGAGAGAGAGAGAGAGTGATGAAGATGGAAAAATAAGAGCTTTTTTCAATCTGAATTTCTCTATAGAATTGATCGTGCTATTTTGCACATGCAGTTCAGTTCGTAACTTTCCTTCGTCATTCTTAATATAGAACAATCGACTCCCTTTAACTTTCAAATAGTCGTTGATGATATAGTGTTGAACAGTCCATATTTGAAAACAGCGAATTTGATTTAATTCATTTGGACGAATTGCTAATCGTTATCTGCAATCCATTAGAGTTCGTGGTCCGATTGACCAAATAACTTCTTTCAATTAATTAATCTTTGTGTAAGGTATTGATTGAGATAAAAAATTCGGTGTCACGAGCGGGACCAGGTCAAGTGGTACAGCAGCGGCGTATTTAGCCGAAGGTCGTGGGTTCGAATCCCGCTCGTGACATTGACTTTTTTATTTCAACCAATACCTTACAAAAAGATTAATTAATTGAAAGAAGTTATCTGTAATATTGAAGAGGGCTAAGATTTTTGTTGCTCTCCGGAGATTGCTCATGATCCAAGTCCATCCTTGTAAACCCATAAAAATGGTATTTCTGCAAAATAAGGATAGTGTTAAAAGGACGTTCGAAAATTCGAATTTCTGTCTTGGTTTCATTGCAATCGGACTAAGCAATAAGAAGATCCAATTGTTCTGGAATCAGTTCTTTAATAATATGATGTGGTTTCTTAAAGTTCCAACTCAGAAAATAATGAGAGATGTGAAAAATTCTATTTCTCTTTCTATAACATTAAAATCGTATAGATCCTTTTCTCTCTCTCACATACTTCAGCCAAAACTTTTTTAATATTATTTATATTTAAAAACCTCTTCCAGTTCAATTGTGCAACACGCGATGGTCGAGAAATCCTGCTTCCTATTCTTTCAGGGATTAGGGCATCATGTTTGAGAACAATAAATAATGTACTTTTCACTCGGAAAACAACCCGGTGAAAATTCAAGGGAGAAAAGAGAGCATAATCTTATTTATTGCCCTCCGGAGAGAGAAGGAAATTTAGCTCACGACTGTTTTGCAACAAGGCGTTTCTACATCGCCCGAGGGGGTGGCGAAGAAAGTAAATATATAAATGTTGAACTACTAGGATTTGATTCGATTTAAAAGACAAAGAAGAAGAAAATATCTGATGACGTACGTCAAGACATTGGGATAGGGGTTCTCAGGAACTAAACGTCCTTGGGGTTTATGGTATGTCCGGCTTCCGCCAGTGGGTCATGTAAAATTCCTTTTTTATTATTTACCTTACAAATCACAAATTAGTTTTTCTTCCTACTTTACCTATTAACATTTACATCCCCAGCATGAGAGATGTGTAGGCAATATATCTATTATTATATTAAATTGATAGAAAGATCGATCGATTGATTGCAAGTAGTTAGACTCCTGATTAAATACAAAAAAATACTAATAGGTTGATATTTGGGTGATAGGTAGTGGTTAGGGTTATTTAGGTGGATACACAGTTATTTAAATATATATTGGTTTGGCAAGAAAGTATTGTCGTCAATTAGATCAAATTTACATTTTTTTTGGTCTATATTATTTTCGTTTACAAATACACTTGTTTAACCCCTAAATTAAAAGGTTTTATTTCTCCTCAGTTTCTGTTGTCAACTTCTTTAGTAATAATTTAATAGGCAATCATGCCTTTGGATGAAACGCATTTAATACATTGTGTACTTTATGAATTACAACAAAAAAAGGACAAGAAACTGTTATAACTGAAAATTTGTGTGCAGTGTTTGATATTAATGCTGTAAATGTAAAGTCCGACGGTAGTTTGTTCGATTTAGAAAAGGAAAGATGATGCGCGCAGTGGACGTCCTTTTGAGGTTGACGAGGGCTAAATGTTTCCCTTACAACCACTGGAAGCCACATCCAAAGACTTGTGTTTGTTCAAAAGCACGCTACATGGATCACACACGGACTCAGCGAAGAACCATTTCTTCCTAGATTGGTAACGCGCGTGATGAAAAATGGATCTTACACAAAAATTTAGTCCGCAAAAAAGCTTATTGCCCGATCAACACAACCCCTCGGTTGTTACCAAACAATAAATGCATGAAAAATACACGTATGCGTAATTTAGTGGACAGGTCCCACTAGCATTTTGGGCTTTTACCACAAAGACAAAATGGTTAATGGTGAACTGTACTGTGAACAGCTAACCCGTTTAGATAGAATTTGGAAATTTTATCACAACTGCTATATTCTCCGTACATTTCACCTTGTGACTACTAATTATTTCGGTCGTTACAAAATTTTTTAAATGTCCAAAACTGAAAGTTTTGAATGTGTTCAAACAGCTGTTCAAACGTTCCTGGACCCAAAAGATGGCAATTTTTATTCGAAAGGAATAGTTGTACTACCTGAAAGAGACAAAAAGCAATTGCAAACATTGAAAATACATCTCCCAACAGTAAAAACATGCCAGGAATAAAAATATATATAAAAAGAAGTCATTATTTTCTTGGATACCTTCTTGTGGTAGGTAAGATGGTTGCATATAAAGTAGATTGAATAGGTACTTGTCTTGACTGGTGTTTTCCATTTTCCCTCATTGTTTCAACAATTTAAAGCTAAATTGTGCGAGAAAAATTATATATAAAATTTTTGAATGGATCAAGACACGCACCATAACACTCACTCTAAATCAGTCATTGTTATTTTGTCATCAGGTTTGCTCTCTCTCTCTCTCTCTCTCTCTCTCTCTCTCTCTCTCTCTCTCTCTCACACACAATTGACAAGCCACTCTTTCATTATTCCCGGGTTTAAAGGGAAAACTATTAAATGTGATTTTTATATGTTTAATACACGAAACAAACAACACGACACGCAAGAATGGCACACTTTCGTAGAAAACAAACAGTTTGAGCCCTGAAGATGATCTCAATAAAGATCGAAACGTTGGCACGATAAAGAAAATGTTTTTCTGAAACCTACGTCACACCAGACCGCATCTCACAATTTCTGAACAAATACGAAACAAAATTTTCTAAATAAAGCACGTTGATTGTTGATTGTCCAAGTCACGTTTGGTATAACCAAAAGCAGGTGGAAATAATTACATCATTGCCTCCGGTTTCTGATGATCATTTGTTTTCGTGAAAGATTGTGGTATGAACAAATCATTGTTTACCCATTGTCCGGCATTTATCCCATTCCCGTGTTTCTATTTTTGAAGCGCGTACGTGTTTACTAAACTAACGTCAGATTGTATCTATCGTGATGCAATTACGAATTTCAAGGCCGGGGATGAGGAATTTCCATACGGGATTTGCCAAACAACAACAGGACCCTATGAGCTGTAAGAAGTAACACCTTGCAAAATACATTCCAAAAGTTTCCGCGTTGACAAAAGAATGACAGCTATTTCTGTATATCATAAACATTCCGGCTTTGTCAAAGAGGGTCAAAATTATAAATCATTACGAAAACTATCCAAATCGATAAATTATAATAAAGTTCGAAGGCACATTGAACTTTATGAACGACAATGGATAATCTGGCATTTGACCCGAAGGTAGAAGCTCAGCCGAAGGGTTCTTCATTGCTGATCCATTTAATAAAGTCTCCCGACCGTCTGGCACAAGGTAGTAAATTCCAATTCTGCGAGAAATTGGTTTTTACCCCTAGTGTTCAATTATTTTCTTTGGAACAGCTCATGGAATGAACTATTGCACGTTAGGGGCCAATAAACAGGGTTGTAGAGTCACTTTTTATAATTTGATAATTAAGAAGAACGAGAAAGAATCTTAATCCTAGAATTCTTCATCCTAATCTTAGAAGAAATAAGAATTCATACTACTAGGATTAATTATTTAAAAAAATCATTAAAATTTTTTGTAGAATATTTTATGCTGGTATTATCACGTTCAAAAATCAAATTTATCTTTAAAAAAATCTTCGGGAAAAATTGGCAATTGATACACCTAATTCCATAACTTCTTGCTCGATTAATTCCTCAATAAATTGAAGATAGATATCTCAGAGTTTATGATATTAAATTTAGGTACGTTTATATTATGCGTTGTTTTTAACCCCTCATAAAACAAAATCCATTATTTTCGCCTTGGCTATATTATTTTTATAGAACTTATATTTTTATAGTCATAAATCTATCGCTGGTAGTATCGTTTATCTCAACAATTATAATAATTGTTGAAAAAAAAACTACCTCAAAAAGCATTCATTTGAGTCCTATTTGAAGAATTCATTGAAAATTTTTAGATGACAATTACGGAAATTAATATAGATAATTTTCTTAAATACATTATTTTAATGTAACTGTTTTGTCTCATATTTCTATCAAGCATGAAATAAATTAATACAAATTAATAATGTCGAAAATACTTTATAGGATTTGGTGCAAATGGAAATAGTGTTTACTTTATTGTTAATAAATTAAGGTTTTTAGTTGAGATAAAAACGTCAGTGTCACGAGCGGGATTCGAACCCACGACCTTCGGCTAAATACGCCGCTGTTCTACCACTTGAGCTATCGTGACCTCGATCCACTCGGACACTAACTTCCCATCTCAACCCCGCCATTTGAATTTTCCCTCCATTTTGCCATTTTTCATTCCATTTTTTATCTCAACTAAAAACCTTAATTAATTAAAATATATTAATTGGTCAAGCGGACCACGAAAACTAGTGAAGTTATTTTTAATATCTATTTTTCTCAAACATTTAATCAACTGTTCCTATAATGAACTAAGAACTGTTAAAAGATTTAGTGAATTCCATTTATGTTTTTTCAACTAGTTCTTCAATATCAATTTAGCGTCATATTATATGCCCCTTTGTGCTGTAGAATTGTCGGATATTGTTGTCTAGAATTTACCCGATCAAAGGAAAAAATTTGAACAATTTTTAATCCGAAGATTATCGATATGATTTTATAAATATTCCAATTTCGCGTGTACACAAGAAAAAACGTAAAAATGTCAAAATCAAATACAAGGCGCAAGTAAAGTTTAATATTGAAATTCACTGACAGGCAAAAAATTCCACCCAATTGATTTTTATTTTTATTTTTTCGATCAAAGAAAATTCTACTCTTAATTTGTCTCATGTTTTTACCAATAAATATTTTTTTATGCTAAGTTTTAAATTGGAGATTTCAATTAGAGACACACTTAATCCTTAATGCAAAATAAGGATAAAAGATTTTTCAATGTTAACTTTTTACTGAATTTAAAATGTTTATTCAGTCTCCTTTGAATTCTAAAGCAATAAACTGTTTAGTTTTCATCTTTGTTTTCTTAATTTTAATTTTTAAAATTAATTTAACCAATTAGTGCTGAGGATGTTGCGCGTGGTGTGGCACTTATTGATGATGTACGTTCCATCAGATGTGAGGCTGTTGCCATCGGAATCCCCTACGAAACTCTGCGACACGTTTTCGAGAAACTGGGTCCTACCATAGAAGGCCCGGTTTTGACGCCCTAGGGTAACAGAACTTCAGGATGACCGTTTTTTGACATTGAGAATGTTGGCAAACCGGCACCTTAAGTTACCTTAAGTTCAAGCGATTCATCAACTCCAGGAAGTTCGAGGTGTCCAAATTTCTGAACTCCCTGCTCGGAAAAGAATAAATCTATGTGGACTGATGGCTTTTCTTTAATGTAAGAGGACCAGAATTGACCAGAACACACGGAGTTGCACGGCTCTCATTCACCATTGGTCTTTGGACTATTGGTCTGACGTACTTTTTACAGATGAGTGTAGATATGCTCTACGATCTCCAGATGGACTTGAAAGAGTGTGGAGATGGCGAAATGAAAGGTACGAAGCTGTTAATTTTTCCCAGAGCCATCCTTTTCAACGCAGCTCAGTGATGGTGTGGGCAGAAATTTCAATAGAGAGTCGCACAGAGTTGGTTGTGGTTCGTGGAGGATCTTTGACGCCAATGTGGATGAAATTTGGAACATCTTGCTCCAATGCTCGATGAAATCAGCGACAATCTAATGCACGATAATGACCGCCCAATGTCGCTCGCATGGTACAAACGTTCACCAGCATAACATCAGGGTCTTAGCCCGTTCTCCAGATTTGAACCCCATCGAACATTTATGGGACCTCAAAGCCGAATAAGTGCACGTCCATCACTTCCTGATACACCCCACGATCTTGAAAGGACTCTTCGTGAAGAATGGGTTAACCTCCAGCAAAGAAAGTAGTTCCAAACTGGTAGAAAGTATGCCGAGGCGCCTCCGAGGTGTAATTAAAGCAAGAAAAAGAAATACTCCGTATTGAAATGTTAATAAAAATCTAATTAAAACAAATTTTATCTGTCTGTCTTTTTTATCATTTTCCTTAGCAATTTACATTTTTTAACCTTTTGTAGACAAAGATTCAATTATTAAACGATAAAAAAACGTGACGCTTTGATAAATACATACAAATCAAGTTATATTACAAGTGGGTGGAATTTTTTACCTGTCAGTGTATTATTAAAAAAAAAGTTTTTTGTTTGTTTTAACAATTGTAATTATTTTATTTATTGTTTTATTTCACAATATATGGTCATTTTCAATCAATGACACTTAAAATGAATGATGTGGATGTCCCACGTCTGAGAGATGTTTCAAATAATTCAACCAGAATTGATCTTAGCCAAGGACGAAGCGTGGTCGAGCCGACCAAAGGTGATCAGTAATAAATCAAACTTCTTACAAACAAAAAATAAATAAATAAAAGACCGCCAATTCGTATCTTTTCGTGTATTGACAAGAGTATGTCTCAAATAAGTGAGATCTCTGTATAAAGGAAATACGCCATTAGAAGAAATTAACTTCCTGGTGCTAAAAGGGGCAATGGTTGAATGATAGGTGTATTGCTGTAATTAGTGTTAAAAGGTGAGAAGTATAAAATGTAAAAACGAAGGCTATCTAGTGAGTATTTATTTGAATAATAATTTATTTAAAATGTTCACTGAAATTTAATCAAGATAAACAAACTTTGCAGTCTGGAAGGAGACGAAGTGTGATAATGATTCACGTTGTTGAAATAAAGTTTTTTAATTTTTCTTTCTTTCGATTGCCATTAAAAATTATATAACCTTGATCAACTTGACCCAATGAAGACAGACAATTTTTAATATTTTAATTTAAAAGTACTTTCAATGTTTCACGTTTCTAGAAACCCCAACAAGCTCCATTCTCGAAGGACTTAGGGACTTAAAAAAACACTCATTTTTTCCGGTAGGAACAAAATTCTACTTTTTCCAGAGGAAACAAAATAAGTCGGGTTTTAAGAGAATGAATAATGTGTGGTGTTTAGTGAACGTTAGCTAATGATTATTCGGTGATCGTGAGATGCGGCCTGGTGTGACGTAGGTTTCAGAAAAACATTTTCTTTATCGAGCCAACGTTTCGATATTTATTGAGATCATCTTCAGGGATCAAAGTGTTTGTTTTCTGCGTAAGTGTGCCATTCATGCGTGTCGTATTGAGAGTGTCTTTTTAAGTCGAAATTGTGTAGGTTTCATCATTGTGGGTAGGTCACTCTCAACACGACACACAATAATGACACATCTACACAGAAAACAAACACTTTGAGTCCTGAAGATGATCTCAATAAAGATCGAAACGTTGCAAATGTAACTAAACCTACGTCACACCAGACCGCATCTCACGATCTCCGAATAATCAGGATGAATAATGATCATAAAAATAATTATGAACTTACATTAAAATTATTTACGAATAGAAAAAGGTGTGAAATACTAGCGCAGCGAAATACAGAAACGAAAAGAAAAAATAGAAAGTTTTTAAAGAAAAGAAAGATAGATAGATAGAGAGAGAGAGAGAGAGAGGGAGAGAGAGAGAAGAGAGGAGAGAGAGAGAAGAGAGTGAGAGAGAGAGTGAGAGAGAGAGTGAGAGAGAGGGAGTGAAAGGGAGAGGAAGAGAGAGAGAGAGAGAGAGAAACTTCTCGACTTCTCGTTAATAAATTTTTTTTTTACGAATTAAAGTGCAAATATTGAATTTGATTTAACAAAACATTATATAGTGTTATCGGTGTTATTGCCATTCCGTTTAGTTTTTCAGTTATCGCTGTGGTGCAATACAAGCTTTTGAAAGTAATCAGTAATGATTTAACTATAAAAGTTGTTTATTTTTAATTCATTTACACCTGCGCCAATTCCTTCGTTTAACTAAATTTTACTCACAATTTGTAACTCGCTCACACTGTCATTTAGGAGGTCGAGAGGCCAGTAACAGTGAAATGTAAACATATTAAAATTTGACTTACTATTAAATGAGTTAGATAGATTTATTGATACAATTGATTGATTAATCGATAGATCGTCAGATATATTTTTATAAAAATGGACCACTGGAAATTCTCGCTGATCGTGTCTGTGCGTTGTGTATATTCTTGTTCGTCTTTTCTGCAGGTTCTGATATTTATACAGAATGTTGAGGTTTTTTCAGTCATATAACTTTCTGAAAAGCTGATTTAGCAGGGATTAAAACTGCAGGGATTTTTAAAATTTTTGTAAATAGTATAAAATATACCTTTTATTAACTTTCGATTTATTTTAAACAAAAATGACCGAAATTTCATCGTCTGATTACGTGTTTCTAATTGCACACTCATTAGAGCAATTGGCTGTAGAGTTTTGTAACAAACTTTCCCTACAGTTAGGTTTCAATTCGTTGCTTTTTAGCATATCCAAAGGACGATGATTTTTGTATGTAATGAATATTATATAAATTAGCATGTATATGGAAGAGAGTAGTGATTAGGTGGACAATTTGCTAAGTTACGCGTTCTCATAAATGTCCGATTTTGAGTTTTTTTAAATTATAATTTTTTTTTATAAAATGGTATTATTAGTTAGTTTTTGAAGTTTACCTTTGACCAGGTACGGATGGACTCGCCTGAAGGCTGCCAGAAGACATTTCGACAGCTCTTTATCCTTGACGCTGCATATCGGTATTTGATCTGTTGACAAAAATATTTAATTGACTTGTCCTCACGGAAAAAAACACGAATAACAATGTCAATGCTGAGCCGTACCTTTGCCTCCTTGGCCCAACACTTGAGAAGCTGCGAGGGCGATGATTGCAAATTTGATCATTGTTTCCTGAAAAAATGAATAACATGGCATTGAAAATCTAAGGGTGATAAGGTTTTCTATAAAAGGTAAAAAATCAGAAAAATCGATACTGGAATAGGTGACATAAGTTTATAGAATTTAGTCAAAATTTTGTTAAACACCGTCACTTTTTTCTGAAAATCAGCACACACATTAGAAAGATGTATTTTCAGATTCTTGTATAATGTTAAAAACTAACCAAATTTTACAATCCTGATGAATAATACGATAATTTACAATAGGAATATTTTTCATGCAGGTTCTAAGCTTAAATGTTGATCTATATAAATTATTATGGTCAATTTTTTTTGTACATAAATGAAATTTCACCGATGCTGTAAATTTTCTTATTTTCAGGGTTAATGATTACGCTTTTTGAAAATTATATGTATAAGGAAAAAGTTTATAGTTTTTTTTGGGTCCTTTTTTTACAACAAAACCTCATGTAAAATTTAGTTTGGTAAATAGCCTTAAAAAGTATAGATGCAACACAATAGGGCTTAAATAACCATGATGATGCGCTTTAAAATAGGTATATACATTGTTATGTGCATATCTCGGTGGGAGGATATTTAAAAACATTTTGTAAAACATGAATGTCAATTTATTTTCAATTAAAGATAAACGATAAAAGATATAATAAATATCTAATATTTCCGATGTTTATTCTTATAACGCTTAATTTTATTGTAATTGTTAGGCACAAATAAACGGAATTTTACAAATATCTGATGTAAATCTCATTCTACATATCGTCAAGGGTCGAACATTAGCACATTTTCGCGGTTCAAACTTAATAAACAAAATTCCAAAAATAGTCTCAGTATGAAAATTTATTTTCACTTTAAGTGATTAGTCCCAAAAATCGATTAAGTTTGTACTCACAAGACAACATTGAATCATCTAACTAGCAGAGGACTTGACACATGGGAAAAGTTGATTTTTTTACAAACTTTCATAATACTTAAAACCGCAATACTATCAAATAATACATCGCTCAAAAAAAATTTGCGATATTTAAATAAAAAATCTTTCGTTGCTCTATTTTAAAAATAGTTATTGCAACCGTCAAGACCGCCAATTTGTCGAATACAATCGAAATAAACACTTACGGCAAACTGAGGTAGAAAGGCGCCTAAGGATATAACCCACTGTTCGCTCAAGATAGACGTTTGCCTGTGGTGGTCTCCTGTTGAAATAAGTCGTTTGCGAGAGCCTTTCTTCCTTTTTATACCAAGGTGGCAAGGGATTTTTTCAAGGACGGACGAGGAATTCGTTTTGTTCTTTTATGACTTCGACTTTGACTCCTAGAACTGAGGAAATAAGGAGGGATGAGAAAGACAGATTTGCGACTACCTTTTGGCGTAAGAACAACATTAATTACTTTAATGAAGGTCTCTCAGATCAGGATGACGTCTTTCGGCAAACTGTCTTTCCGATTCTCATTAGTCAGATGAAAAATGGATAAAATCTCTTTTTATTATATTAATTTATTGGATACGTACAAGACAAATTATTGGTCAAGCTAGAAGATGAGGAAATAAGAATGAAAGAGAATGGGAGGGAAAGAGGCGTTAAGGGAGAGGGAGAAAAAAGAGACTGTGCGATAGATAGATAGAGAGAGAAAGAGGGAGAGAGAGAGAGAGAGAGAGAGAGAGAGAGAGAGAGAGAGAGAGTGAGAGGGAGATGAGTCTGAGGGGGATCCGTATGTGAATCGGTGAGGGAGAGACTAAAGTCCTCAGGGAAACAAAGGGACAGAGAAAAAGATGGAGTAAGAGAGAGAAGAAAAGAGAGTGAAAGGGAGAGGGAGAAAAGAGAGAAAGAGACGGATGGAGAAAGGGAGAGAGAATGAATGGGGAAGGTGGGAGAGAGAGGGAGAGAGAGAAAGAGAGAGGGAGAGGGAGAGAGAGAGCTCGTAAAAGAGAGAGATATTAATAAAAGTAGAGAGAGGAAAGGGAAAGGATCAAGAGAAGGTGGAGAAAGTGAGAGAGAAAGAAAGAGAGAGAGAGAGAAAGAGAGAGAGAGAGACGGATGGAGAAAAGGAGAGAGAATGAATGGGGAAGGTGAGAGTGAGAGGGAGAGAGAAAGAGAGAGGGTGAGGGTGAGAGAGCTCGTAAAAGAGAGAGATATTAATAAAAATAGAGAGAGAGAGAAGGGAAATGATCAAGAGAAAGTGGAGAAAGTGATAGAGAAAGAGAGAGGGAGTGAGAGGGATGGGACAGAGGGGGAAGGAGATAGAGGGAGGGAGAGAGAGGGAGGGAGAGAGAGGGAGGGAGAGAGAGAGTGAGAGAGAAGGGGGAAACATTAAACATTACACACTCCGTGAAAGGGAGAAAGAGAGAGAAGGATGGAGAAAGTGAGAGAGAGTGTGAGAGGATGTGAAATTAAAGTAGAAGAGAAGCATAAAAAAACTACCGGGAGTTTGTGTACGTGAATAAGAAAGATTGAGGTAATTTGTACAACAAATTCAAATGTGTGATTATGTTTGTCCGTGCATACATATTTATCTACACACAGTTACAATACAACGTATAAAATTACATTTTAAGATACATTAAATTCTAATATATTGCAGTAGAACCTCCCAGGGCTAATATTGTTACGGTAAAAATTATTTATTGTTAAGTATTAATTTATCTTAATGAAAGAACAGACAATACGGACTAATTTTGCAATAAGCACAAATTACAATATATACTTTAATATTGTATTATTAATTATAAAACTCTTTCTCAAAATTATTTTTATGTGCTTTAAAATTTTGTATGTGTCCTCGTTAAAGAAATAAAGAAAATCAGAATATATAATTAATACGATATATTTAAAACAGTTCAGCAATTTATATTGCAAATAATTGATACAGAAATGTAAAAGTTGAAACAAGTAGAAATCAATTACCGTTTGAATAGCCAATGCCAGTTTTTATGTAATGAAGGAAACAATTTTAATTAACTAAGATAACAAAGGATGAATAATCACTCCAATATAAAATGGTTCGAAATAAAGGGGTGTTTACCGAATGAATGGGCATAATTTTCATTGTTAGACGATATACGAGTTCAATTTTGAGAACTGCCTATTTTTAACAATGGAAGCTTTTGTCTTGTATACTAATTAATAACACAGATATATTGAACGTGTAGGATTATTGTGTAGACCCCGAAGCAAATGTAACAGAAAAAAGGATAATAATCGTGGTATTCTCATAAACCAGTTAGGCCCAAGCAGAATAACATTGATGCTGAAACATATTCTCATGAGGAAGAAATCATTGGTTTTTTTGGGGTCTAGGCTTAAAAGCTTTCTTAAGTAAGCCAGTATATGTCGATTGATAGAGAAATGATAGGCAGCCTTCCTCAATAAAAATTAAGTTATAAACTTAGGTAACTATACTTATGACTGTTAGGGACATCTGCGTAATGGAAGAGCAGATGACCTTACTGAAAGGTCTCTGAAATCTCGTCCATCATCCCTCAACTCTCATTAATAATTGGTTTAAAAGTTCCCAAGGTATTTACTTGCTATATTTATTTATACAAAGGCTACTGCGTGAAGTTTAATTTGTCACGTCGTTCTTTCCCAGTGTAGAACTTTGTAATTAAACTTTAGTTTTCAAAGAAATAGTTCTGCTTGATAATTCTATTTATTTCTCTTTGAAAATTTTAGATTAAAAAAAGCTTAATTTAAAAAAAAAAATGTCTAGCATTGTATAAATTCATTTTTTCACATCCTACATGTACTTGTAAAATTTAAACAATGTTTATAAATCCCAGGCCCTGAAGATGATCTCAATAAAGAACGAAACGTTGGCATGATAAAAAAAATGTTTTTCTAAAACCTACGTCACACCAGCCCGCACCTCACGATCTCCAAATAATCATTAACTAACGGTCACTAAACACCACGCATTCTGATTTACCTATGTTGTAATAAAAATTTACATAATTCGAGTTTCTACTTTGCCTTCGAGTAGTTACTAGTCAAAAAGAAGTAGTTAAGAATGACTGGGGGTTAACGACAAAGTTTGAATGATGTCATAGCTAAATGGAGTCAGAACTTACCTTGTCATAATTCCTGAAACATAAATGCAAAGACGTCATTTGCAGTATGAATTAGTTGCCCCCCTTGAATTTAAATAGGTAAACGTGTCACGAACTCGCCTCCTGATTTCGGGTGACCTAGGATTTATCCCAAGCCGTCCTTTTAACTCCAGGACTCCCGTGCATTGGCGATTCGCGTGCTGTAAGAATGGGCCGAACGTAGACTTGCTGGGCCCCTTATTCTTGGCCTGGAAAAGGAGGTGGCTAGCGTGAGGTCGAATTATATTGTATCCCATTAGCCGGGGCACGCAAATGTACTTTACTGTCGGTTTCGTCATAGTTATTGTTCTCGGCGTTCAACTGTAAGTGGAACCGGTTTGGCTTTGTCAAAACGTTTAACTGCAAAGGTAGAAAGTTTATTTTCGTTTCGCCCCCCCCCCCCAAGAGTCTTCTTTTTTAGTTGTGATAGTGTGATAAAATTATTTACGGTTGACTGAACATTTTTCATATTTAAATAATAAAGAAAATTTCATAGCGACTAGTGTAACAATTTTAGCAAATAGATAAATTTTGTAGATCTTCTTATATGAAGATTGACAAAAAAAAGCTTATACTGTTTTTTCATTACAGCTGAAAACTAAAAAATGTTAGCATAAAGAAATCTTTGGTTTAGTCAGTTTAGATCGTTTACCTTTAAGGACTGCTTCAATGTTATCATCATTTTCTTATGAAGGAAAAAAGAGATGTGAATTTGGTAAAATAATGACCAAGGTTAAAGGGCGTCAATCCACCAAATAAAAACAATATTTTCCAAAATTCAAATTTAAATTTGCCAAAAGGAAGAGATTATTCGTTTAGGAACCTCCTGCAAAGATTGCTTCAACAAGAAAAGTAGTAATACAGCAAACCTCAGCGACTTTTTTCAGCGTTTTGCAACCGGTGCTAAGCTGAAAAAGAGCGGGTATTTTGTTCTCTGTGATTTACTCTGAAAAAAAAAGATAACTTTCTTAGTTTATGCAGTTGAGTTTGTTTACTACCTACTAGGGCTGCTCCAATGAGATAAATATGATCCGTCTTACTTCAGAGTAATCTTTAGCCAGCTGGTCTTCTTGTGCTCAAAGTAAGAAAACAAACTGAATTTTTCTCTCGGTCAAGGAGTTATGTTTCGTGTTACTAGTTGTGCAGAGCCACACTGCTGTTTTTTCCCAGTGTTCTGCAGAAAAATTTTCAAAGGATATTTGGGTTTAATAGTTAAGTATGGTGCATTGTAAACACTGCTTAAACGAGAAATTTCATGTTCTGTGCTGCACTGCAATCCTTAACACCACACATAGCTTTCTTTCGGTCTTCAGCTGGAAATGGAATGGGTGTATTGCTTTTCATATGAAAGCAATTTTTGGGTTGGAATGTTTAGTATTTATCTCAGTGTTCCTTGCTAGATGTTATGTAGCAACCCTTCACAGTACGAACCGTGTTCTATGTACATTATTAGCTTCTGTGCCTGAATCCCTCAAGGAAATTGTAATTTGCTAGAGAAGGGAGAACGACTCTATAATGTACTTAAAAGTTTCTGCTCAAAGAAATGGGGAATAGAACTTCCATTGCAATGCTCTTCTATAAATCGGCAATTCGATCGGTAATGATTTCGGATGTATTTTTTATGGCCAAGCAAATCAGACGACCCCGAAAAAAAAGAAACTTCCAAAACACCTGTTTATGTCGTATACTGGGTGGTTTGCCTAGTGCTCCAGTGGTTGCCCTGTCTGCTGAAGCTTATATATATTATGCAGGGTGGGCGACCAAGACTCGTGGGGTTAAATGCCTGGGTAGACTCGTACCCCATCCCTAAGAGGTCCAGGACTTGGTCGGCTCACGTGTCCTGCATAAACCTCTTGGACTGTTCACAAACCCCAAGATTTTGGACCATTTTATCTCGGGGAGTGATTTGGTGATGTCCTCTCCTTCAAAGATTTCAAATCTAGACCTAGCATACCTATCACACTCTGCGAGGTAGTGCCTTGCCGTTTCTTCTTTTATTTCTCAGAAGCGGCAAAAGGGATCTGATAGGATACCCATTACGAAGAGGTGTCTTCTCAGTGGGCAGTGGCCCGTCAGAATACCTATCAGCCTCCTAATTCCCTTCCTTGAGATAGAGAATAGCCATTTCGATTCTGCTGGTTTGATCGCCTTAACAAACTCTTTAGATTGCCTGTGTCCGGGGGATAAATTCCACTTCG